CCTCGTCTCTCACAGTGAGCGCAAATAGGCTTCTCTTCTCCACACTAGAACGACGAAAAGAAGAGATTGGGATTAGTCAACGGCCCCTGATTGCATGCTGAAGGAGGGATTGAAGTGAGACTGACTTTGATTCGTCTGTGCTTGCAGGTCTGACAACCCAGCCGCGATTTTCTGTGGCCTCGTTTCGTCTTGGAACCTCGGAGCATCGAGGTTCCGGACCTAGGCAACGAGGTTGGCGTGCTACTCGACATGGCCAATGCCAATGATCTGGAGTTTTGGGGAGCCAAAGTTAAAAGGCTCCGGATGGAAAACGAGAACGAGAAAATGAGAAAGGAAGCGACTGGAATAAAAAGCAATTGTCCGCCCAGTGTCCGCGTACTACCAGGGTGTATACCCCTGCAATCCCTCGGCACACAATGGCTTTCAATTGGGCGTAGCTTTGGCTGTGGACATCACCGGATATAGTGCAAAGGTTCCCGGAGGCTTGGCCTCGCAACCTCGTTTAACCTCGTTTTCGTTCCGCTATGCGAGTGCGGAAATGGCTACTTGCCTGTCTTCGAATCCGCCCGGATACCAACTGCGGGGGAAGCAAAAAAGGTTGCCTGATACAGTGGGGAGCGAATTATGAGGTCAAGCGTGTGATGCAAGTATTAAATGTCAGGTGTTCTGATGCAACAGATTTTGAACAACATGCTTTGGCGACATAGACAGGATCGAAAAAAACAATCAAAGCATATAGATTAACACTTTAATCTATTTACTATTTCTATTTTCCTTGAGCTTCCACTGCACCGCACAGCATAGTTCGTACAAAATTGACAACACTGGTGTGACCACTCCTCTTTCGCGACCTTCTCGGACTACCTCCCTGATGATATTCTCGTGTTCGATAAAATTACCCTGAAGCCCAGTTTATTAGAAATCAACTATTATCTGCATTGGGCGAAGACTTTACCTTTTCCAGATCTATTTGCATGCTCGGAGTAATGCTCTCATCTATCGGGTTACTATTGACTGTATCATTGATGATATTCTCTGGAAGCTCGTATCCTGCCCTTTTCGCTACAGCCAAAACTTCCTTCATCGCAGGTATTGCAAGAGTATCCACGACTCTGCCTGTTCTCTGTAGCTCGCCAGTATTCAAGCGAGTCAGCGCGCAGATCGGGTTGAAGGAAGCATTGTACACCAATTTGCTCCAGCGGTCGAGATCGACGTCTGGTTGGTATAGACATGTCGTCTTGCCTCCCTTGATGTAGATCTCTACAAAGCGCTTCGCCGCCGCTTCTTGTACCTTTGGATGCAAGGTCGGGTTATTAAAAGCTCCGATATGTAGCACGTCATTCTGCTTGTGCTCGATGACACCATGTGCGACTTCGTGGGCGTCGATTCTGCTGATACCGGATACAATAACATTATTCGGAAATTGATGGATAAACGGTCTTTCTATGTTTAGGCCATTTTGTATCAAGACGATGGCTGTATGGCCGGGTGTGACCGCAGGTGCGACGATATCGCATAACGTAGGGATGATGTCGGGAATATTCTTGGTGCAACAAACAATATAGTCGAATGGTCGGCCCTGTGCATCATATCTGCTCGGAATAGCATCCAGGCCTATTTCGCAAGTCAGCGGAACCTTTTCATCTTGTCTGAGGTTCTGGTTGAACATACTTTCAGTAGGCCGCCAATTGTGAATATCGCCATGCTGGCAAGACCTGATGGTAAATCCCTTGCTGCGTACGACTTCGAAATTGGACCGCAAGACGGACGTGACTTCCGCCAAATCTCCTCTTTCGAGATTTAGAGCAGCAATCGTACCAATGCCACCGCTGCCAATCAGTAGTACTCTGTCTTTAGGCGAAGTCATTATGCAGTGGCTCGACTTGTCTTGGCTAAGTTTCTAAGCCAGATGTCATGCAATTACAAGCAGGGGATTCGGTAATATCTATCTGGATGATTAATGTTTCTCCAGATGCGATTTGCGTTGAGAATGCCGCTGTATTATCCGGTTGTGCCAGTCGAGGTGCCGGGCTGTCTCCACAGTCCAAGCTCCGGGCTAAGGCCCCGCTTTCATCGCCGGCACATTCCAGTGCTCAGCTACCAATTCTTGCCTAGCGGTATTCCCACTCCTTGACAATGAACGTGCCGGTAAGCAGCGCTTGGCTGTACCAACATGGCTCGCCACTCTCTGGTTATCAGGACCGGCGCCAGCTTGTGTCGCATGCAATCGCGTTATCAATGGACGTCTTCTCAAAATATTGCTACCAATGTCCCTATCGGTGGAATACTCTACAAGAACCGCAAACACTTTGTGAAAAGCAACTCAAAGCATTCAAAATGGAAGTCGGCATAATCGGTTCTGGAATCATCGGGCTCACGTCTGCTCTCGCTCTCGTCGATGGCGGATACTCTGTAACCATCCTCGCCCGTGATTTACCTGGAGATGATTCATCTCAGCAGTGGGCAAGCCCATGGTAGGGATCACTCAGCCCCTGATGAATATTTCCTCAACTCTGACAAGTGTTGTGTAAAGGGCAGGTGCTGGCATTCTCCCCCACCCGGACTACAAAGGACATGATTTGCAGACCGACAGCTTCAAGTTTTACTGGGCACTCGCCCATCGTGACCCGACAAGTGGAGTACAGGTAAGTGGCCCTGGGCGCCATTTTCCCGCAAGGAGCACTGCTAAGTCAATTATCAGGTGGTAGATGTGACTGAATACTATGATGACCGAGACGACGATTCTACTATCTGGTACAAACGGATGGTCCCCAAGTATCGCCGTCTGCCATCGAAGGATCTTCCAGCAACCGCCAAAATTGGTTTCAAATATCAGTCTATGACCGTCAACCCAGCAGTATTCTTGCCCTGGATAAAGGCGGTATTAGACCGGAAAGGGGTTCGTTTCGTCCGCGCTGAAGTCAAGTCCATTGAGGAAGCCAGGTCAATTCTTGGGACCAAGATAATCGTCAACGCGTCAGGCCTTGGGGCTTTCCACCTTGTGAATGACCAAAAGGTGGTCGCTGTTCGTGGCCAGACGATGCTTGTCGAAAGTGATTCTCACGAAATGGTCATGTTTCAGGGCTCTCATTACACCTACCAGATCCCGCGGATGCACAGTGGCGGCGTGATTGTCGGGGGAGTCAGTCAGGCAGGCAACATGGATCAGAATGTTGACCCAGCAGTGCGGTCAGATATTTTACGACGAATGAAGCTCGTCGCTAATGATCTGTACCAGGATGTGGATCTGAGCAAGCATGTTATGAAAGATTTAGTTGGGTTTCGACCGAGTAGAGAAGGAGGATATCGACTGGAGCGGGAGGGCGAATTGATACACGCTTATGGTTTTAACACTCTTGGGTATACTTATAGCTACGGTGTGGCTTTGAAGATCCGAGACCTGATCACGTCTGCTACAGAGGAGGAGGCTGTGAGAAGTAAGCTCTGACATAACTTTGACCTTCTTAGATAGCCCTTTAGTTATGATTCTATTATAAATCTATTTAGCGACCAAAACAGGTGTCTACTGCAACATTATCCCGGTATAACCCTGATGATTGTAGTGTATTTGAATCTAAGGATTCTCATGGAAGAAAATTCAGATCTTCGTTGCTCTTTGTTCATAGGCAGTGACACCTATACTTGTTATCTAGATGCGTTATTTGCAGTTCAGACTTGTGACCGAGAGCTTAAACCAGCAGGGAGAACTTAGTCGGCCTACTTTGTAGCTAATCTGCACGACTGAATTTGAAAGGCACCCCTCAACTATCACCTATACGAACTCTTGACTAATAGCGAAAAGCTCAGGCATGGATAGGTGATACTAGAGCCTCTAAATATGACATTTAAATACTCCAAGCATCTGCCTATCTCTTCTTCTGGAATCAATTTATGATACATCCTTAGAGCCGAGATCCCTGAGTGTTCACTAAAGCCACGCATTCAATCTCCACCTCTAGATTCTTAGGCAGTGTTTTCACCGCTACACAGCTCCTGGCCGGCTTATGCGTGAAATAAGTCTCATAAACAGCATTGAACTCCGCAAAGTTCTTCATATCATCCAAGAAGACTGTGACCTTTGCCACGCGGCCGATGTCACTGCCGGCCGCTGATAAAACTGCCTGAACGCTCTTGCAGCAAGCATGCGTCTTATCTGTGATGCTGCCTTGGAGAGGCTTGCCGGTCGAGTCGATTGGAATCTGGCCTGAGAGGAAGACGTAAGAGCCTGCGACTACAGCTTGCGACTTGCGATATCAGTCAGTTATTAATGCTTTCAATTGCCCAGAGAGAATTTACATAGGGTCCGATAGCTGTCACAAACGATTAGCTTCTTTCTCTATGGCTGTTTGAGTTTTGGTGTTACTTACCTGGGCATCCCTCTGATGTTGAAATGGTGGTGAGGTCTGATGACATCTTCACTAGCCTGTTGGATGGATCTCGTAAAGATAGCCTCTTGTTTCACTTCAAGACGTGATTATGATATTGTACTCTAGGAAATCAGAGTACGTATGCTTTAACTATAAGAGGTCGTAGACTACATAGACCCTCGGCGTTATCAATGAGGGGGATTTATACTCCTGTCAAACCAGCTGGTACGGAGAAGCCGGTCCCTTGTTCGGTACTATGCGGGGAAATTTTGTAGAGCTGACTGAAGAATAGTATTGATGGGTGGCTCCACTACCACTGACAACTTTTAGCTCTCCCGGTACATCATACCGGTAATCATACCGGTAATCATACCGGCACGGATGCTCGGCCGGCACTCTTGTGAATATGTCTCCACTTGACCTCTCGCTTACACGCGGCGAGTCATAACAGTAATCACCAAATTAAAAAATGCAAATAGTGACTGTATGATCACGTAGGAGCTATTTCTTGGTAGTGTGAGAGTTGGTTCGTACCTAGTACATACAACAGGTTATTCATATTTCAGCAAATGTCCATCTAAAGAGCTGATTGTGGCGTCTTCTTATAGCGATATCTAAGCACTGGTGTTGTCTTTAAACTACTGCAAACAGAGAGACAAGCAATGACCAAACGAGAGTCGGGACAACATTATAAAATCTTGTAGCCAACGACTCCTCTTCCTGCACATCATTCTTCTCCCATTCCTCAGCCATACCAACTGCCTCATCATAATCTGGCCATGGCCTGACACCAGGCTTAATCCTAGAATTGGGGTCATCATCCTCCACAAATCCAACGTCGCCACGATACTTGGCGTCGCTTTCATTACTCCCTTTCCTATCAATCCTGAACCCACAGACCACCACCTCAGTATCATCCAGATCATCATCAAAATCATCCAGAGTCCCGGGCCAACAGTTCATATCAGGCGTCCAGACCCAGTATCCACGCTTGCCTTTGGGTATGACCCAGGATGAGTTTGTGTATGGTATGACTGCAGGTCGCTGCAAAGTGACGTACTCCATCGTTTTAGAGTCCGCTACATCTCGTGCTGCTTTGAGGATGCTTCTCTTATTCTTTAGGGAGGTATCGAGGGGTATACCGTCGGCCTGAATGATGGTTGAATTGGCGATAATGCCTATCTTGGTGCCCTGGATTCTGCAATTACCCCTGTTATCACCGTTTTTCTTTGCTCTCTCTGCAGTGCAGTTGACCAGCTCAGTGACACGAATGGAGCTGCCTTCATCAAAGTAGCCTTTGGAGTCATTTGGCGATTCTAGCTTAAAGGTCTGGCAGTTGCGCTTTGATAGCGAAAGCGATGCCGCTGGGAAGAATGTAAGGAAGAAGATTATAAACTTCATGACTGCAATTGCGGATTATATTCATAGAATGATCGTTAATTTGGATCCAGCCCAGGAGTTGAACAAGTTCTCTTATATCTTGTGTTGCTGCCTTGATCTTGCAAATGGCCCCCAATTCTTTCAGATTTTGTCACTTCAATGACGTGGGCCAAGGGGGCGCAAGTGCTCCAAGGTCTATAAAATGAAACTGATCGGCAATTTATAACATACAATGCTAAGGCCCAATTTAGGAACCCCCGAATTACGAGCTTGGTAGCTTTCCTTGTTTTGACTTCATCTTGGTTCCTGCCAGTCTGAATGATCGTTGTAGCTATTGGAATCTTATCTACCTTCTTTGACGAGCCAGAAACAGTCCATAGTGATGGTATTTAGTAAGAATACAGGGCTGTGTTCTTGAATCGCTGTTGGCACCTAGCACCGTCATCTCTTAGGCGACGTGAGGTTTGATAGCGGTTCAAGTGCAATATTGTATTGTGCTCCTAGGCAATAGTGAGGGTAAGGAGTTTTTTGCCGTATGTGTTTACTGGTGCCCTTTACCTTTGTGCCCTGAAGCGTGAAGCCTATTTTAGAACCCTAATCTTATCACAGTCATATTGTGCTTGTCAACAGTGATACAAGTGCTACGTTGATGGCAAAATCTGGAGAAATACAGACATATAAGGTCCCAGGTTAGATAAATACAAACAGACAAGCAAGAGATGACCATATGGCAGCCGTCGATATCCCATGATATCTCACGGCCCCGGAGTCAACATCAGCTTCATCCCATTCCCTAGCCCATTCTTGAGCCTTGCTAAGACTTGGCCATGGCCTGATCTCAGACTTGATCAGAGCATCTTCCTCGTCCATCTCCACGAAGCTAACATTGCCTTCATACGTGGTAACAGGGTCATCCGTCGAATTGCTCTTGAGCCTAAAGCCGCATACCACGGCTGAATAACCGTCCAATTCCTCCTCCAAATCACCATCACAATCCCTGGGATGTCCACGCCAGCACTGTATTGCAGGCGTAAATGTCCAATACCCATAAGTCCCGTTTGGAGTTGTGTTGAAAGGGGCAATAAAAGGTATGACAACGAGCCTATCCAAGGTGACGTTTCCCAATGGCCCTATATCGTGTTTCAAAGCTTTGATAATGGCCTCTTTGTTTGTCATGGAAGTGTTGAGGTTTGCTGGGGATGGGGCTTGGAAGGTTGCGCCGTCGGTGCTGTTGATAGTTGCGTTGGCGATGATGCCCATTATATAGCGCTGAATGTTGCAATTTCCTTTGCCATCGCCATTCTTTTTGGCTCTTTCCGCGGTGCAGTTTACGATTTCTGATACCCGGATTGGTTGACCCATCCTGGACCATCCCTTGGATCCTGGAGCGGTCACATCGAAGGAGTCGCAGTCACGCTTGGTCAGCGAGACAGCGATCGATGGAAAGGCCAAAAGGAGGACTGCTGCGAATGCTTTCATGATGGTGGCTCGGAAAAGGCGATTTTATTGAACCCTTCTTCTGGCTTGATGGCATCAAGCCTTGTACTTATAATATGCCTACGTTGTAAAATGGCCCCCAACGAGTTTATCCTGTCGAGTCACACTTATGACGTTGGCCAAGGCTTTAACAATGGCTTCGAGCCTATGGAACCAAATTGATCAACCACCAATGCAGCCCGAACGGGCAGTGCGGGGCCTTTCCGGGCACAGGTGGGAGAAAGCAAGAGACGAGATTTGATGGTAATTGAATGAAAGCTGTTCTAGCATACAGGGATGATATTCCTCGATTTAAAGCTTGTTTTTTGTTCGTATAATTGATTCAATTTAGCCAGGTTGTCAACGTGGCCTCCTGATCTTCTCGACATACTCTAGCCCGATAAGAGCTCCCTTTGTGTTGATCTTGTAATAAATGACTTTATTAGCAGCTGATTTGAAGCGCTTCGGATTCATCTTCGCCATCTTCCAAGTTCTTATTGCAAATTACATGTGCTTCGGCAGACACATTTTATCTGCGGCTGGGCGCTTCTCTCTTGATGATTTCAACATATTTAAAACGTTAACGTGGAGCATGGGCTTCGCACTTTGTGGTCAAGTATATCGGCCTCGCATCAAGCGAACTGGTTTGTGATAAGCATCACGGGGGGCTGCCCTGTACATTGGCACTGGCACGAGACTGTGCATGTGCCTTCAGTAGAAGGTGATTGAGTAGATGGAGCTTGGGGTAGGCGCGCTTGATATCGTGCGGCAGGCCGAGCGCAATATGACTGGGACGGAATCGAAAGAGATGCAGATCCAAGTGTCGAGCGAAGGATGACAAACGTTGTACTAAAATCGGGTTATTGCGGAGTTTTTCTTAAGCTTATCTACCGACCTACCTCATTCGGTAATTCTCGTTGCTCATCATCCACTGTCTCCAGAGTATCATTGCTGCCAAGCATACCCCTCAGTTCGTCAGTCAGTCCATCGCATCAACTTGGTTAGAATGCGGAGGTAAACGTTAATGAAATCCCACTTCATGTCACGATATTCAGATGCAATGCGACGATCGACTTTAAGCGATGAACGGATTCAGAATAAGTTCCGATCAATGACCGAGGCTGATGCGCAGTAACACAATGCGTCGTATTTAAAGGCATGTCCTCCTCCAAAGTTCAGACAGTATCACTGCTCGCGTTTTGGACATCTTCCGGATTTGTCCAGAGTCTTCCAAAATGGCTCAACGACTTACTACCTTCACGGCACTCGCTTCTGTTGTCACAGGACAGTCAGGCGGTATACAGAGAGGTCTCCAATATGGCGAGAACTGGGCACCCACAACCAAGGACTCTGACCTCGTCTCGGCCAACTTCCCCGATGTCAACATCACTCTCCGATCACCTGCGTTTCTGAACCCCGAAAAGGTTCCTTCTAGGTTCTCAAATGGCACAGAGGGGCCTACTGACGATATTGAACTCGGTCAGACCACTGATGTCAAGGCCTCCGGAATAATTACTAATATTTTGAAGATTACTTTATCCGAAATCTAGCTCAGAAGCATGACTGGATGACTTATGAGCCAGCGACTTTTGAATCTGAAGAAGGCCGTTCGATTCCCTATGTCTTCCTTTCTCTGCCAAGCACCAACTCGAGCAGTGACAAACTCCGTGTGTATCTCCAGGCTGCAATCCACGGTAATGAGCCCGCTGCTGATGAGTCCGTCCTTGCCTTCCTGGGTAAGATGGATGCCGAGCCTTCGTGGGCCAAGTCGATCTTGGAGAAGATGGACATCAAGATTCTTCCCAGGTATAATGTTGATGGCGTTGCATACTTCCAGAGACAGTTGGCGTCGAATCTCGATCCTAACCGGGAGCATTTGAAGCTCATGCGTGGACAATCAAGACAGATTAAACGAACCGTCAGTGAATGGAACCCTCATATAGCGATCGACATGCGTAAGTGCCCATGAACGCACACTAATCACCATGACTAACTTTAATGGCAGACGAGTTCACTGTGCCTACAATCTACGGCGGCCACTACCAGCACGGAGCTGACGCCCTTCTATCCGGCGGCATCAACCCCAACATTCATCCCAAGATTCGCGAGCAGCTGCTCGATTTCTTCATCCCAGCTGTAGGAGAGGAACTTGAGTTTCACGGCCTCCGGTGGGAGCCATATGTTACTGGGCCTTCCAATCGCACTGAAGGTTCACGTATTCGTTTTACTGAAGCTGTAACCGAGGCACGCACTGGTCGTAATGCCGTTGGATTGACACAGACGATCTCATTTTTACTTGAGATGCGCGGTATTCGTATCGCGAATCAACATTTCCAGCGTCGTGTTGCGACTGCTCTTATCAAGATCCAGACCATCCTTGAGTTGGCGAGAGATAAGGCTGAGAAGGTCAAGTCGATTGTCGAAGATGCCCGAGAGGATTTTATCAACAGCGATGAAGATATCGTCATCACAGATTCTTACGTCCCAGGGAACAGGACATTTACCATGGTTGATACTCGCAACGGCAGCGTCGTACAGGTACCGATCGACTTCCAGCGGACTACCCCGTCAGTCGCGAACCTTACCAGGCCCCGACCCGAAGCTTACGTGATCCCACGAACATGGTCTGACGTTGCCGAGAGACTAGAAATCCTGGGATTGAAAGTGGAAAAAATGAACTATGAGTTTAGGCGAACTTTGGAAACCTTGACGATTGAGTCTTCAATTGTTGAACCTGAGTTATATGAAGGCACGTATCTCAACACGGTCACCACCAACTCAACCACTCGAGAAGTCGTGCTGCCGGTTGGGAGCTATTACATTAGCACGAGGCAACAGAATGCCGCTTTGGCGTTTATCGCTCTTGAGCCGGAGAACATTGACAGCTACGTCAAGTTCAACATCATTCCGGTGGAAGCGGGTATGGAGTACCCTGTATTTAGGATCCCACGGGAATAAACTTACTAGAAGGTATCAAAACCATAGTATGATTATACCAAGGATAATTTTGCTTACATTCACCTTCACACTTGCGACGCTGAATCGATGCGAGCTCGGTCTCAAATCCCCACTATCGGTCGTGCCTTTATGATTCATCAGAATATCTCATTCAAAGCGCTCCTGTTTTCATGTCACCGTGGACTTCAGCCACACGCCTTTCTAAAATTTATAGTAAGGGTAGGACGACTTCTTTTGGAAACTTAGGGTAATCCTGCTTGTGTCCCAGCAATTCTTTACCTAAGTCTATTAATGCAATAATACTCACTGCAATACAGAGTAGAGAGAGTGCTTTTATATTCTTCTCTGGCTATAATTTTACAATAATAGCAGGGTCAGGTGATATTTTACTCCTCTTTGCGTGCGCGGTTGGGTTCCCTGGGACTATCGAAACATTGCTCAACCAACAGCAATTGAGCGAGACCATATTTAGCAGAAGATTCAGGAGCTAGTAGTAAAAAGCTTCGAGGCTGTTCTCGATAAGAACATAATGATGTATTGTCTCTCCGTATCGCTAGGCACATCCTCGTCGCCCGTTTTGTAATTCCCATTTTTGGTCTCCACAAATCTTGAAATTACAAAAAGGAACACTTTTTAGCGCTGCTGCCTGGGATATGCATTAGAGCCCGCAAATTGCATTGCTAGTTCTATTTAAATGACCTTTGTGGGCTTCAAGAACTCCGGCCTTTGAAACTCATGAAGTTGTATCCTAATACATAAACTATCAAAATGAATCAATCTTGGATTGCGTGGAATGGCCCATATCAGGATTATGTGAGCGGTCTCTCCGCCTCCGACCCGTACCTGCTCCAACCGGACCCGAAGCCTCTTAAATGTGGAATTTCCTGGGAAAACCGCAATGTCAGTATCCGGGCTATTGAGTTCGATAACGATCAAGCCGATAAGCTCCTTGTGTTGCCCCTTCAAGGACCGGTCTCTCTGGCTAAACATTTATCACAAAAAAGGAAAGGTGGTAAACCTCGACGAACAGCATATGTATTTGAGAATATGAACAGAGACGTTGCAACAGTTCTTGGGGACCACTTTCGAATGCATCCTTCTTTGTTTACCAACTACGAGCGAACAGTGACCACTTCATCCACAAGCGGTGGCTCTTGCAGCGTGCTGACTTCTGGTCTCGCATTGCAGCAATATCTCTCCATGTCACCTCGGATCTTGGTTACTTTACCAAGTACGCTTATCAAACACGCTCCCCTCAGGTGCTCAGAGACAGGAAGATATGTAAGTCTGACCCGAGTCAATGGTATGCTTGATAGTGTTGGCACTGTAAAACGGAAATGCTTTGTTTGGAACAATTTATCAGAAGATGGTTGGACCAGTAAGTACTGACTCTTTCCATTGAAATCAGTTTTACTGGTTCTAAATTTAAGCTTTAGGCATAGTGATATGCGATCCAGGTTTGAGAAGCGTCGTAACAAAGAATGAGGCTGCTGGCAGGGGGCACGTTTTCCCAGTCGGTCAGCAACCAGCTGAAGGAGCTTATATCGATTTCTTTGCCTCGGACATCGGAATCATGGCGAAACAGGCCCCGCCGAAGACCAGTATCGCCGATGATCTGTGCTTTTATCTCGCGAACTATTCTTCGCTACCAGGCCTCACTTACGAAACACCGGACATTGTCTCCTTGTTCCTCCAGAAGATTGTTGCCAGCCTCTACCTGAGGCATCTCGATCAGCTACGTAAAACTATTGCTCAGTCCCAGAGCCCGATGCGATGGACCTCTGACTTTGGAAAACTGGACCTGGCAGCAGTCGAGGCGAATTGGAGTGACTGCCAGACTTTGGAAAGGAGGCTACAGCTGCACTGTCTGGACTTGGAAGGTATTCTTGTTCAGCTCCGGCTGCCCTCTGGACGTCCGGACCCTCGAGAAATAAACTCCTGGCAAGACGTGGCGGCCGATTTCCAGATGCTTTACCACCAGTACAATCATGCCCGAAGCTGGGTCGAGAAACTTAACTCATCCATGACAGCCCTGGCCGGCATAGCGGGTAACAGGCAGGCATTCAGAGAACAGCAAGTTTCTTTAGAAGCCGCCGTCAGAACCAGAAATATCACAACACTTGGATTGGTATTCGTCCCGTTAGTATATGTTGCTACCTTATTTAGCATGTCGGGTGACTATGCACCTGGAAGGCAACGTTTCTGGCTTTATCTTGTGATTTCGATCCCGATGGTGTTAGCTGTTTTGGGAGTGTATCAGTGTATGAATTACAGGGGTTCAAAGGGAAAAGGCCTAGCGCATTTTGCTTCGCCTGCCATCGCCTAGGAGATGAAAGGGAACCCAGGACCTCGCCCCTAAGCGCTAAAAGGGCAAATCTGGTCTGAGTTTAGCGGAGTCTTTGCTATATTTATTTTATTTCGACACCCTATAATAATGTCCGGTGTTTTCTGGCTCCCTCAGGATCGCCTCCCATCGCAACTTTCTCGGGCTATCATAAGCATCATCAAGGTAAACGAGAACATAGGCCTGCAAGAGTTCATTGACTTCAACCTACGAGCAGGAGGTATCCGCATCATAACCCCGAAACCTATAAGCCACGAAGATTAATGGCCTTTCACCATGACGAAAGACAATAGCAAATAGACATATAATTCTGCAAAGACTTTGTTACGTACATCAATCCAATAACGAAACTAAAATCAAGTCATTTGTTAATCGATACAACTCCAATCCCTGATTAACCCATAACATTTCCATAGGTCCCTCTGCCATTCGTATACAGGTGAGGAAGCTAAAGCTCGAAGGGGGACTATATGTTCAGTGGCCCCAAGGCCCTTGAGTATCACGGAAGACCTCCTCCCACCACTCCTGGTTCGGCCCCTGGGGCGCCTTCTTCGTATGTCTACAAATCTCCCCAAGCTTCATCTTATCCAACCTCCCAAACGCGTTGTCAACCATCTGTCTCGGATATCTACTCTCATACTCCGCCGAAACACCCCAATACCGAACCCTCCCGTTCTCTGTCTTGACTGTCGCAAGAGGATCTTCAGGCTCACCCTTCTTCTGAATCTGCATCTTGAGAAGCTCTCGAAGGTGATGGTAGTACCATGGTTTGTCCCACCATGTTGAGCGACGTCTTTTTAGTCCGTGCATGCCGTTGTGGTGAAGAATAACTGGAACGGTCTCGAGAAAGAAGTCGGCGTAGAGGGACATGTTGTTCCAGTCTGCGTCTGGCTGGATGAGCTCTAGTGGGTTCTCTGCGTTCTTGATATCCTCTGGTAGACCTTTTAGGCGCGTTGGCGAGATGCCCAAGGCAGCAGAGTGTTCATCGATGAGTTTCTGATCACCCAGCGTGACGAAAGCACCGTGATCGCGACCTTCATCATCTTGAGTCCACTGAGTCTGCATCGATATCTGTTGACCGTAGTCAAGACCAATACCATACTCAAGCTTTTTGTCCAGCATGTCTCTCATGCCACGCCTGGGCCTTCCCTTTTCTCTCTGGAATTTCCGAAAGATCTCTTGCTCCACAACGACTTCACCTGTGAGAGCTTGTTCACTGTGCATCTTGATACCCTCTCCGATACCAGCCTGCATGGTAAACAGAGATCGACGAAACAAGCGGCGCATATCGCCAGCGGGGCCGATATAGACACCACCGTTGATCCATCGCGGCCTGTTCGTCTGCCAATGCTCACCATCTTTCTCTGTATCAGGACCGTAGAGGTCCTTTCGCTCTGGACTCTCGGGCCATTTCTCGCATTGGATATTGATGCCCTTGTCCGCCAGACCGGAATAGCACTTCTTACCAGTGGCCACGAGGATGGTCTGCTGCATAGGCATTTTTCCTTTCTTGTTCCATTGCTTACGCAACCGCTCATTGGCCTCCTTATTGATCCTGTGATATCGCTCGAGCATGATCTGTGCGGGCAATTGGAACCAAACATCGTGGCCGTCAACCATGAGTATGATATCATCTTCACTCAATCTCTCAGACGGATGCGCATCAGGGTGCAGAACTGCATCGAGGTAGTCGACAATGCCCGGGATTTTGGGCAAATTGTGACCACCGTTCCAATGAGATATGAGTCGGTGATCGATTCCCCAGTTGATGATAACGGGACTGGGGTAGCCGAGCGCAAGGGCGGTGACGACGGTTTTGCAGAGGTCGGGGCTTGGAGACGTGGCGGGCACGACGAGGGCGAATTTACGGTCTTCGTCACGATATTTGTGACGGTGATGCGACCAGCTCGAGTCATCCATTTCCCAGCTCCAGGGACTCAGAATAATAAGTGATAGAGCTGAAATGATAAATACGACAGCTGCGATTTGAGCTCTGGGAATTTTTCGAACATTGGAGACATCTGGGAGGTTCTGCAGGCTGGGGTGATTCAAAACCTTGGCGACAATTGGAAGTGCTAGAAGTGTTGACAGCGTCGGTATCGCAGGAAGCGTTGGGAGCTTTTCAGCCCCCGGAATTTCCAACTTGGGATCCATAGCAAAGGTTGAAACTCAATTGAACATCTAGAAAAGAGGAGCACGGTGGCTGCAGCCTTATGTTTTATGAGCATCCTGAAGGGAACAACACGTATGCCTTGTGATCAAGGGATGGGCAGCGAAAAAGGGGCGAAATTCCAATTCATTTGTGCCGCAATTGGTGGCGCTTTCTTAGCTATTCAGAATCAGATATCACAGGCTGTTGGTGGTGGTGTCTCATGCAGAGTCTCAGGGTGCGATAGGAATTGCTATCTGGAGACTCTGGAGTGGTATTTGTTTGTGCAAGGGACCATTTAAGGCGTCGCCTAGATGCGTGCTACTGGCTTGGCGGGGGATGTGTCTCAGACGCGAGGTCCAAGCGGGGATAAGATTCCGATGGCGAGCCCAGATCCGCATTCAGTTACCCTGCAGTTGTCGGATTTTTGACAACATGGCTGTTTTGACGATAGACGGCAATGGCTTGGTGCAATGCAAAGTCTTGTCTCATATTCTATTTTCTGTTGGTGGCTTTCATTTATAAATTCGACTGTCATCGCAATCGTGATATGTTCTCTGGTCCGCATATTTGTGTGAAATGGTAATTTTCACCAACTTGGAAATTCTTGTAGGTAAAGTTCTTGCAGTAAGTTGTCTCGTTTCAGCTTAACATCCTCTGCCAACACTGCCTCTTTGCATCTATCGAACTAGCCATAAAAGATAGTTTAACTATGAGGGCATTGACTTTGTTTGTTTTCCGATGTAATGGGTGTTGTTTGGGTATGCCAAGTAGAGGGCAGAGATTTGTGTACACATTCCGCGGACGGAATTGTGGGCCGATCCGGTGACCAATAGAGAGCTCCTACTAGCGTTATTTTGACATTGAGAAGAGAGTTCGGAACAGCGACCCCAACGGCGTAGAATATGAGCTATGAAGAGCTGATGTAATAGAAGCATCGGCTATAAAAATTTGAGAAATGTCTTATCAAAGAAGAGCCTATAATTATATCGAGAATTATTCTATAAACAAGTCGAGAAGTTAGTGGCTCTATCAGAGCATTATCAACCCGGCGGTTCCTGAATCGAGCCAAGCGCCTCACCTGAAGACTAACTCTAGGCTACAGTGGCTTAGACCAGTGAGCGGACCAATCAATCACCATCAAAGCTTCTAGTCATCCAATCTCCCCTAAATCCATCGCGCCCTTCATAATCACGCGAATCCTCGTCTTAAATATCTTCAATTCTTCTCAGAGTATCATTCTATCGCCGCTCTCTTTCAGTCAAAATGTCCACGAGAAGGAGCGCCAGGATTCGCAACATTGACTTAGGCGCCGCTGCTAAGTCAGCTCAATCTGCGCCTGCGCCTACTGCCCCACCAAAGAGGAAGCGAAAAGCCCCGGCTGAAGACGAGAACGATGAGTCGACAGCAAAGGGGAAAAAAGCACCGACAAAGAAGGCAAAAGCGACAACATCAACCGGTAGAAAGACAAAGCCGAAGGTCAATACCGCAGCCGAGAATGAGACTCAGGATGAGACGGTCTCAGTTCCTGACGATGTCTTGTCAGTCCTGCCAGCCGAGATTCTCCAACAGATCCTCGAAAGCGTCAGTCCACACTAATTTCAAGCGTGACATCTCAAGTACTGACAAGACCAGGTCAATGACTCAAGAAGCATGGTCAAGATGGCCTGCACCTCTAAACGATATTATGCTGTCGTAATGGCCATCATCCATAAACGCATCTCCGTCTCAACATACTTCTGGGCACACATTCCCCACGTCATCCGCCGAATTGAACCTCATCTGAGCATAGCTCAAAAGAAACAGCTCAAGAGAGAAGGCCAGTACAAAGGTCAACAAGAGAAGTTCTCAACTCTCCTTGATCCAACTGCAGTGCCTTCTTGTGCCAGCAATGTCCGGCAGATGATCATTGGAAAGATTGACCCTGGCAAGAGGCATAAGCCCTTTTTGTTGAGGTATTTTGAAGAGGTTTTGAAAAACCTTCATAACTTGGAAGTCTTTGATGCTAAGGACCTAACTGAGTAAGTAAAACCCCGCATAGAGGGGTGTGCCATACTGACAGTATTGAAGATTGATGGCGGAGGGCCTTTCTAAATTAAAGAATCTCAAGTCTATACGACTCGACCCCTATGAACATAGCATAAAACCTGAAGCTATAATTCCGCTCGCCAAACTCCGTAATCTCGAGCATATCTGCATCGAAGACAGGGGTTGGGGATCACTTTGTGTAGCCAAGGAAAGACCTTTACAGAGCATGCTACTCAACTCCCTATCAACCCTCCAGGCTCTGGAAGTTCGAACATCCAAGTATTACTCTGACTTTCTTGGCGATTGGGAAGGCAAACTTAAAGCTCGCAACCCTGATGCTTCGGAACAAGGGTATGATTTCACGGCGCTCAAATCACTGACTCTACATGGCATAAGTTTCAGTGGTGAATTTTGTGAGAATGTGATGCCGAATATCACAAGAGCTTTCGACTTCCTCAAGCTGAGGGAGCTTAACCTCATGAGTCTCGAAGAGGGACAACTCACGTTCTATAAGCATCTCGAGGATCTGTTCAGGAAAGCTGACAAGCGAGATATCCACCTTCGAAAGCTGTGTTTGGATATGAAAGGACCTGGGCCTACATCAAACTACGTCGAGACAGAGGTGCACCTGGAGGGAAAGTATCGATTTATCTCGGCTTTTGACTCATTGACCAGCCTGGAGATACATGACTACAACATGTACAACACCAATGTGCAGTCGAATCCGGGACTTTCGAGGCGATTGCTACAGTCCATTTTGAAGCATACAAACCTAGAATTACTGCGCTTCCATTACCGGCATATGGGCAGTGAGCCATGGGAAATCCCGTATGCCTCATCTGAGTCCGTCAACATCTTGACCAAGAACCTGCCTTCGCTACGGGTCTTTGAGGTTGCGCCCCAAGAGGATAACCTCGTAAGTTACTATACCTCTCTACATGAAGACTAAAACTGACGAAAAGGAGGATGCAATGGCCCTCGCTCTATCACGCGCCAAGAACTTAACAAATCTGCTCTGCCCCAACTTCAAGAGCTATTACGAAGATAGACAGAATGCACACTTGAATTTAGCTAAAAAGCTCCTGGGAGGATTTCTGGAGAATGCTAGTAGCTGTGAGAAATTCGTCTGGGAGGAGCATTATAAGCTTGGCCGCCTCACCATGGGCTGGACTGACTTACGAATTGGATCTGGACTGAAGCCGAAGAAGAATTTTGAAAAGCCCGTGAAGATCGAGAAGGCAGATCGCGTGGTCATGGTGCAGGATTTGCGGCCGAAGAAGTGGGGAGACTCGAAGCAGGTGTATTACACTGCTGATAGTCGATGGGTGGATGATGTTACGAGGCCAGATCGCCAGGGGCCGTTGCAGCTTGTGTATGATGATTGAGAATTGGTTAGTAACGTTGAGTTGCGATGAGTAGCCAATAGAGTTAGAGATTGGAGAAACCACATGTTTTCTTTTCGAAATTCGGATATATCGAGCCAGTTGAGATTCCTCTATAATAGACACCTCCCTAAGTGGCTATCTATAACCCTTTTCTAGCCTAGAAACTCAGTGTAAGGTGGTCAATTACACCGCAGTCCCTTTCCTCCCCACCAGGCAACTTGCTTACAACACAAACTGGCGACTCAAGCCGTAACTCGACTTTCTTTCGGCCATCATCCTGAACACTCCACGAAACTGTAGCAGTGTTCGAACCAAGCGCTACCGTTGCCTTCAACTCTCGACTCAAGTTCAGTCTTGGCGAAAATGAGACTTTGCTTGAACCTGGTGCTATGACATGCAGACCAGCCAATTCGGTACAATGCTCGTAGATAGGAACACTACCCCATGCATGACAGTCTGACCGCTGCCGCACGTCATCCTCTTCCCAGGTTGTTAAATTGTTAGCCAACATCTTTCGCCAAGGGTCCCAAACACTTCCCCATGCTGATTCGTAGACTTCGTCTCCAGCGAGAGCGAACGCCCGCAGAGCATAGAACATCATGACATAGGAACATTTGGAAAAGCTTGGGTCTGAAAATGACTCCTTAAGAAGGCGTGGTCGTTCTTCAGGGATTGCGACGCCACTGAGAACGGCAAATACTTGGCAATGCTGGGAGTAAGCCCCCTCACCCGCGATGTCTGCCGTAGAGTCCGTGAAGAACTTCCCATCGAAGCAATGAGTGCGGACCGCCTTGATTACAGATGCCGCGCGAGATTCGTACTCGTCCGCGTATCCAGGTCGACCGACATCTCGGACCAGACGAGAAGCCTGCTTCAAGACATAGGCATAAAGCATACTGAAGTATGTATGCCTATTCGATTCTCGCCCTGATGTTGGAACCCCTTTGTCTGGGTGCGTATCGGTTGCGCCCCAAGAAGTGACCCAGTCGACATATTGCCAAACATCTTCAGGAAACCCACTAACAAGACCGAGTTCATCGATATGAGACTCGAAGAACTCGAAGACACCGTCGATTCGAGGGAGGAATGACCGTGTATATGCGGTGTCGCCAAAGTATAGATGGTGATCGCAGATCTGGAGGACCCAGTATAGCGAGAAACCGGCGATGATCTGCGGTACGTGTGAGGGGAAGCGAGACTGTGTTAAGCCCTCGGGTGTCACGGATGCAGCAAAGTTGGTGATTGTCTGTCTCATCAGTCTGTCATCTCCAGAGAGAAGATAGTGAAATAAGCCGACGGAGCGAGAATCACCGGAGTACCTAGAGATTTGTCAGTCAGGACAATGGGCCGTGAAGGCAATACTGACTGGAGTTGTTCGTAGAAGGGGCAGTCTGAGTACCCGTCAAACATGCAATTTCTCATAGTTCTGATGGACACATCCCATATCTGTTTAGCGTCCTTGTCTCCTGGCTCGTCCCAGCTTGCTTTGACAGCAAGAGGATAATTGACCTGTGTAGCTTCGAAAGAGGACAGTTCAACGGCTTCGGATCCAGCTGTGATCTCCCATCGCATAACACGGAATGTTCTAAACC